CAAAGAGGGAGGAGAGAACGGCCTGCCCCCCGCATACTACCATCAACAGGGGCCCCCACCCCACAAAGAGGGAGGAGAGAACGGCCTGCCCCCCCGCATACTACCATCAACAGGGGCCCCCACCCCACAAAGAGGGAGGAGAGAACGGCCTGCCCCCCGCATACTACCATCAACAGGGGCCCCCACCCCACAAAGAGGGAGGAGAGAACGGCCTGCCCCCCCCATACTACCATCAACAGGGGCCCCCACCCCACAAAGAGGGAGGAGAGAACGGCCTGCCCCCCCCGCATACTACCATCAACAGGGGCCCCCACCCCACAAAGAGGGAGGAGAGAACGGCCTGCCCCCCGCATACTACCATCAACAGGGGCCCCCACCCCACAAAGAGGGAGGAGAGAACGGCCTGCCCCCCGCATACTACCATCAACAGGGGCCCCCACCCCACAAAGAGGGAGGAGAGAACGGCCTGCCCCCCGCATACTACCATCAACAGGGGCCCCCACCCCACAAAGAGGGAGGAGAGAACGGCCTGCCCCCCGCATACTACCATCAACAGGGGCCCCCACCCCACAAAGAGGGAGGAGAGAACGGCCTGCCCCCCCGCATACTACCATCAACAGGGGCCCCCACCCCACAAAGAGGGAGGAGAGAACGGCCTGCCCCCCCGCATACTACCATCAGCAGGGGCCCCCACCCCACAAAGAGGGAGGAGAGAACGGCCTGCCCCCCCGCATACTACCATCAACAGGGGCCCCCACCCCACAAAGAGGGAGGAGAGAACGGCCTGCCCCACGCATACTACCATCAACAGGGCCCCCCCCCCACAAAGAGGGAGGAGAGAACGGCCTGCCCCCCCGCATACTACCATCAACAGGGGTCCCCCCACCCAACCACACAGCCCCCCTCCCCCCTCCCCCCTCCCCCCCCCCCCCTCCCCCCCCCTCCCCCCTCCCCCCCTCCCCCTCCCCCTCCCTCCTCCCTCTCCCCCCCCCCTCCCTCCATCCCCCCTCCCTCCCTCCCTCCCCCCGCCTCCCCCCGATAAAAAAGGAGAGGGGCTACCCTTCTACGGCCGAAAAGCCCAGTGTAGAATCCGCCATAGCGCGCACGGAGAACTGATATACCGGAGACCTACACCCGTACCCCCCCTCCCTCCCTCCCCCTCCCTCCCCCCCCCCCTCTTCCCCCCCCCCCCCCCCCCCCCGAACCCCCCCCCCCCCCCCCCCCCCCTTCCCCCCCCCCCCCCCCCCCCCCCCCCCGCCTCCCCCCCAACCTCCCACCAGGGTAGATCCTCAGCTCCCCCCCCCCCCCCCCCCCCCCCCCCCCCCCCCACCGCCCCCCCCCCCCCCCTCCCCCCCCCCCCCCTCCCCCCCCCCCCCCCCCCATCCTCCATCCCTACCCCCCCCCCTCGCGCCCCGCCCACACCCACCGACGCCCCGCCCCTGCACTCCTCCTCCCCCCCCCCCCTGCCCCCCCCCCCCCCCCTCCCCGCCACCGCACACACCCCCGCCCCCCCACGCCCCCCCCCCCCCCGCCGCACACACACACGCAACCCCACGCTCCATCACTTCCCCCGCCGCCGCACACACACACGCAACCCCACGCTCCATCACTCCCCCCCCCCCCCCCACTCCCTCCCCCCCCCCCCCCCCCCCCCCCCCCCCCCCCCCCCCCCCCCCCCCCCCCCCCCCCCCCCTCCCGCCCCCCCCCCTCCCCTACCCCCCCTTCTTACCAAACACTGTTTCTCATAATTTCCTTCTCCCCCCTAACCACACTCCATCAACAGGGGACCCCCCCCCCCCACACAAAGAGAGAGGAGAGAAGAGTTGCACCACCCACACTACCATCACAGGGGACCCCCCCCCCCCCCACACAAAGAGAGGAGAGAAGGGCCCCCCCCCCACACTACCATCAACCGGGGTCCCCCCCCCCCCCCCCGACAAAGAGTTATGGGACCCAGAGAGATGGCATTGGCGGCAAAGGCCAAGCACTCCTCCTTGGTCATGCCGGGCTTGTAGGAGGCGTCGACGTAGCCGTAGATGTAGGAGCTGCCCGAGCCCCCGATGGAGAAGGGCTGGCGCACCATCATGCCCCCCATGGGCACCGAATACACCTGGAAGTGCGTTATTTGGGAGGGAAAGACACAAAAGGTGAGTATGGGCCAACTTCAGCTTTCCAGGTGTTTTGGACTTCAACTCTAACAATTCCGAATAGTTATGTTGCTGTGAGTTTTCCGGGCTGTCTGGCCACATTCCAGAAGCATTCTCTCCTGACGTTTCACCCACATCTATGGCAGGCAGCCTTAGAGGTTGAGAAATCCATATTTCTCAACCTGAAGGGGACTCAGGCCGGCTTGCAAGATATATTGTGCAGGTACAACTGTACCAGGAGCTCCAGTTTTGTTTGCTTTGCATTGAATGTTTGTTGTAGTCCTAAATTTCAGGGGCTCTGCAGATAGGTGGCTTCTTTTGGCTGCAATCATAGGGCAAGCCACCTGACAATTATAGTTAGGTTCTCTGGTCCCGTCCCCTTCTTGGGTTTTGGAGGGAATAGGAGCCAGTTTGGGTTCAGCCTACACATAGAAGCCTTTCATGCAGGACATAAAACCAAGAGCTCCTGTAGAAAGCTTCGACTTCTATGGCTTGGCCAGGGAGATATACAGCCTACAGCTTGATCGGGGTTATACAACCCTGCAGCTCCTTTGCTGAAGGACTTCAGCCAGCCATCACCGAAACCTGAACTCCTTTTCCCCTGGAAGTCTACAAAGCTCTGCTTGGTAAGGGTCACTCGCAGAAGCAGTTGGTACAGGGTGCAGGGGCTCCACGCCAACAGAGACAAAGACAGACTGCCCAGATTAGAAGTTAAGGATTTCCCCATTAGTTAGTATACAGTTTATGAAGATAGTGCCTGTTCCCTCTGAGACAAGACTCTGAGAGAGAGAGAGAGCCAATAGACTGTTAAGAAAGCCTAAAAGTACTTGTTTGTTTTCATCAATAAAGAACTTTGTTGAACCTTTAAGCAATCTAAAGACTCTGTTTTAAGGAAAACCAAAGGCCTTTAATCTGAGGCAGCCCCGGCGTCACATTGGGCACACGGAATTTATGTCCTGTCTACAGTCTGATGCACAGGCCCAGCGTGCAACAGCACAATATATACATAGTAAAGGTAAAGGCTTCCTCCTGACGTGAAGTCCAGTCATGTCCGACTCTGAGTCTCTGGTTCTCATCTCCATTTCTAAGCGAAGAGCCGGCGTTGTCCGTAGACTCCTCCAGCATGACTGCATGGAGCACCGTTCCAGCCAAAGCGGTACCTATTGATCTACTCACATTTGCATGTTTTCAAACTGCTAGGTTTGCAGAAGCTGGGCCTAATAGCGGGAGCTTGCCCCGCTCCCCGGATTCGAACCACCAACATTTTGGTCAGCAACTCAGCGGTTTAACCCACTGTGCCACTAGGGGGCCCTGGTGTCTACACTGCCATCTAATCCAATTCAAAACAGATAATCTGGATTTTAAATAGCTGTGTAGGAGGGTGTTTGTTTTACCTGTTGGGCTACTTCCTGTCTGAGGAAAATATTTTCTAAATCTCTTAGTATGTTAGTGTTATATATCCTTAACCAAGCTGAAATCTATTCTATAATAATGATGATAATAATAGTAATAATAGTAATAATAATAATTGTCGGAGGCTTTCATGGCCGGAATCACTGGGTTGTTGTAGGTTTTTTTTCAGGCTATATGGCCATGTTCTAGAAGCATTCTCTCCTGACGTTTCGCCTGCATCTATGGCAAGCAACCTCAGAGGTAGTGAGGTCTGCTGGAATTAGGACAATGGGTTCATATATCTGTGGAATGAACAGGGTGGGACAAAGGACTCTTGTCTGCTGGAGCTAGGTGTGAATGTTTCAACTGATCACCTTGATTAGCATTTGATGGCCTGGCAGTGCCTGGAGCAAACTTTTGTTGAGAGGTGATTAGATGTCCCTGTTTGTTTCCTCTCTGTTGTTGTGCTGTTGTAATTTTAGAGTTTTTTAATACTGGTAGCCAGATTTTGTTCATTTTCATGGTTTCTCCTTTCTGTTGAAATTGTCCACATGCTTGTGGATTTCAGTGGCTTGATTAGTATATAATGGCCTGACATTGCCTTTCTGGAAAGGAGGAAACCATGAAAATGAACAAAATCTGGCTACCAGTATTAAAAAACCTCTAAAATTAGAATAACACTAAACGTCAGGAGAGAATGCCTCTAGACCATGGCCATATAGCCCGAAAAAACCCCTACAACAACCCAATAATAATCTTTATTTATACCCCGCTACCATCTCCCCAAAGGGGACGGGGCGGCTTACATGAGGCCAAGCCCAAACAACAAATGACAGCAAAACAAACCCGAAAATGCCAACAATAGGCTGGAATCACTAGGTTCTTGTGGGTTTTTCCGGGCTGTATGGCCATGTTCTAGAGGCATTTTCTCCTGACGTTTCGCCTGCATCTATGGCAAGCTCAGAGGTAGTGAGGATGCTTGCCATAGATGCAGGCGAAACGTCAGGAGAGAATGCCTCTAGAACATGGCCATACAGCCCGGAAAAACCTACAAGAACCTAGTGATTCCAGCCATGAAAGCCTTCGACAATACAAACAACAACATCGTAATTACATAAAACATATGAATGCATAACGATATAAAATTACAATAAACACAATCACAGTGACAATGGGCGGGCTACATGTAATGATTATAAGAAAACTAATTAAAAGTATTCTATCCACTATATACATCTTGATCCTTCCGCCACCCAGCTCCTCTCCGGGGTTGAACCACATGATCCACCTTAATTGCACATTTAATATGTATGCGCATCAGTTTTCAGACACTTAGTCATCAGGTTTGCAATGATATTCTGAGCCGTCTTAAGCCCCTTCCTTCCTTCCTTCCTTCCTTGTTCCTGTTGTGCCTTGGTGTCCCCCTCCCTCCTTACCTGCCCTCCCTCCCTCGGGCCTTACCTGCCCTCCTTTGCGCTTGTCCCACCCGGCCACCAGGATCCCGGCCGTCAGGTCCTCCCGGTATCGGTAGCACATCTCCTTGAAGAGGTTGGCCGCCGTGTGCACCAAGGGGCGCTCGTCCAGTTCAATGCTGGGAGGGAGGGAGGGAAGAAGGGAGGGAGGTTCAGCCGCAGGAGGAGAGACCCCCCACCCCACAACAGAAGACCCCACCAGTGCGACCCTCCCCTGGCCCTGGTCCTACAGCTCCCATCAACCCTGGAGGCATCCTGGGAGGTGGAGGCCCCACTTCTATCCTTCTATTTCCCCACACTCCACTCCTTATTTATTTATTGACAGTATTTCTATTCCTCCCTTCTTCTCACCCTGCAAGGGACTCAGGGCAGGTCACAATGTACACAGACATGGCAGACATTCAATGCCATAGACCAAGGGTCCTCAAACTAAGGCCCGAGGGCCAGTTACAGCCCTGTCCGAACGGATTCTCCCCTATGAACCATCAAGGTTATTAAGATCTTCCGGGGGGCCCTGCTCTCGGTCCCACCACCCTCGCAATCACGGTTGGTGGGGACGAGGGACAGGGCCTTCTCGGTGGTGGCTCCCCGGCTTTGGAACTCCCTCCCACTAGAGATCAGATCTGCTCCCTCCCTCCTGACCTTCAGGAAACTACTAAAGACCTGGCTCTGGAATGTGGCATTCGAGGACTGAACCTATGACCGCCTTCTTTGTGATGAACTGTGACTACGAGTATGACTATGACTGGATTGACGATTTGGCTTAGGTCATTGTGGTGATGATGTTTTTATTGTACTTTACTGTACTTTTTAATATGTAATGACTTTGCACTTTGTTGTACTTATATATTATTGTACTTTCATATATGTTGTAAACCGACCTGAGTCCCTCGTTGAGGTGAGAAGGCCGGGATAGAAAACTTCTAAATAAATAAATAAATAAATAAATAGAAGGTCATTTACCTGGCCCTCGCTCAGGGTCAACCTACGTCTGAAATGACTTGAAAGCATACAGCAACAACAAGAATCCTATTTAGGCAGAAAAAAGGAAATGCAAAGAGACAGAATGGGGGACGATGAGGCCTGGCTCAAGAGCAGGACGTGTGGAAAAGATCTTGGAGTCCTCGTGGGGAGGAAGAAGGGGAACATGAGCCAGGAATGTGATGTGGCAAAAAAGCCAATGGGATTTTGGCCTGCATCAAGAGGAGCATAGTGTCTAGATCTAGGGAAGTCATGCTCCCCATGCTCTATTCTGCTTTGGTTAGACCACTTTACCTGGAATACTGTGTCCAATTCTGGGCACCACAATTCAAGAGAGATATTGACTCTAAGCTGGAATGTGTCCAGAGGAGGGCGACTCAAATGATCCAGGGTCTGGAGAACAAGCCCTGAGGAGCGGCTTAAGGAGCTGGGCATGTTTAGCCTGAAGAAGAGAAGGCTGAAGGGAGATATGATGAGAGCCATGTATAAATATGTGAGAGGAAGCCACAGGGAGGAGGAGGGAGCAAGCTTCCTTTCCGCTTCCCTGGAGACCAGGGCGCAATGGAACAATGGCTTCAAACTACAAGAGAGGAGATTCCATCTGAACATGAGGACATCCGTAGGGATACCAAGGTGCTTGTCTATAAAGCTATTGTCCTCCCAACCCTGCTATATGCCTGTGAGACGTGGACTGTCTACAGATGTCACATGCAACTCCTGGAACGATTCCATCAGCACTGCCTCTGGAAAATCCTGCAATCTCTTGGGAAGACAGGCGGACAAACGTCAGCGTCCTGGAAGAAGCAAAGACCACCAGCATTGAAGCGATGGTCCTCCGCCATCAACTCCGCTGGACCGGCCACGTTGTCCGGATGCCTGACCACCATCTCCCAAAGCAGTTGCTCTACTCTGAACTCAAGAACGGAAAATGGAATGTTGGTGGACAGGAAAAGAGATTTAAAGATGGGCTCAAAGCCAACCTTAAAAACTCTGGCATAGACACTGAGAACTGGGAAGCCCTGGCCCTTAAGTGCTCCAGCTGGAGGTCAGCTGTGACCAGCAGTGCTGCAGAATTCGAGGAGGCACGAATGAAGGGCGAAAGAGAGAAATGTGCCAAGAGGAAGGCGCGTCAAGCCAACCCCGACCAGGACCGCCTTCCACCTGGAAACCAATGCCTTCACTGTGGGAAAAGATGCGGGTCAAGAACAGGGCTCCACAGCCACCTACGAATCCATCATGGAAGACCATCTTACTCGTCCAACGAGGGATCGCCTAATGCTTCAAACAGACCAAGGATTCTCTCTCCAACCCTGAGCCTGATTCCACAGGGAGATAGATACACTCCACTGGCCTCATTTCCAACAGACCTCTGAACCTGGGGATGCCAGCCACAGGTGCAGGCAAAACGCCAGGAGAGAATCCCACTGGGACATGGCCATACAGCCCAGAAAACTCACAGCAACGCAGCTGCAGGGCTTATTTTGCAAAACCTGAGTGAGTCAGTGTTGTGGCCCCTCCAGGCCAGCCGATAGTTACACTCATGAGTCATTTATTTATCTCAAGGAGGCTCAAGGGGAATCGAAACCTCACATTCCTCTCCAGTCGATGAAGATACTCTTCCCTTTCCCAGTTTCCTTTTCTGGTGCAAAAGAAGACCAGAAAGAAGCCCCTTTGGGCTTCTTTCTGGTCTTCTTTTGCACCAGAAAAGGAAACTGGGAAAGGGAAGAGTATCCCTGCTTTCTTTCACCGGGGACTTTTGTTCGAGTGCCGTTTCCTTCTGCAAAAGCAGCAAAAGAGAAATCGAGCTGGGTATTTTCCATCCTTGCAATTGGGGGGTGGGATTTGAATGGGCTCAACAATTCTGAAAGCACCAACAGGTACATCGAGGGGCAAGGAATTACAGGGAAAACACTGAAGTGAGAGGAAACACCCTTTTTCCCCCAGTGGAAAATTTGGAAGAGTCAAGGAATGTAGAAAAAAAAATCCAGATGCAATGTTTCCTCTTTTGAAAGGAGGCCAGTGCTTTTCCAGGTGAGGTTTTGCAGAAAGGCGTGCTCTCTGGCCCAAAGGCCCTTCGGCCTCTCCCTTCAGATTGCGGAGCAAAAAGAGTCTTAGTCCTTACCACGAGAATTCAGCAATGGAAAATTCCCTGAGAGGGATCAGGGAAAACAATACAATATGTGGGTCAGGAATTTTGGATAGGACCTTTGTTTACATTTATGGCAAAGGCCTTGGCGGGTTATGCGATTGCAAAAACGTGCATTGTTTTGTGTTCTGCTTATACTGTAAGCCAGTGGCTCTCAACCTTCCTAATGCCGTGACCCCTATATACCATTTCTCATATTGTGGTGACCCCCAACCATAACATTATTTTCGTTGCTACTGCATAACTGTAATTTTGCAACTGTTATGTATTGTAATATATCTGATTTGCAGGATGTATTTTCATTCACTGGACCAAATTTGACACAAATACCCAATATGCCCAAATTGGAATACTGGTGGGGTTGCAGGGGGGATCGATTTTGTCATTTGGGAGTTGTAGTTGCTGGGATTTATAGTTCATAGTTCACCTACAATCAAAGAGCATTCTGAACTCCACCAATGATGGAATTGAACCAAACTTGGCACACAGAACTCCCATGACCAACAGAAAATACTGGAAGGGTTTGGTGGGCATTGACCTTGAGTTTGGGAGTTGTAGTTCACCTACATCCAGAGAGCACTGTGGACTCAAACAATGATGGATCTGACCAAACTTGACACAAATACTCAATATGCCCAAATATGAACACAGATGGAGTTTGGGGGAGAAATAGACCTATAAACCTTGATGTTTGGGAGTTGTAGTTACTGGGATTCATAGTTCACCTACAATCAAAGAGCATTCTGAACTCCACTAATGATGGAATTGAACCAAACTTGGCACACAGAACTCCCATGACCAAGAGAAAATACTGGAAGGGTTTGGTGGGCGGTGTCCTTTGGTTTGGGAGTTGTAGTTCACCTACATCCAGAGCACCGGCTGCTAGGAATTGTGGGAGTTGGAGTCCAAACCTCTGAGGATGCTTGCCATAGATGCAGGCAAAACGTCAGGAGAGAATGCCTCTAGAACATGGCCATATAGCCTGAAAAAAACTGCAACAACCCAGTGATTCCAGCCATGGAAGCCTTCAACAATACATATTATCATTATTATAATGGGAGGTGGGCAGCGGAAGCAGTCCCAGGGCCCCCGCCCGTCATCTCTGAGAATCCTGAAGTCCCAGCAGACTGGAGGAAGGCAAGGTACTCATCTCCAAAAAGGGTGAAAAGGAAATGACTATAATCAATTCCGGGAGAGATTCCAGAGCAGAGAATGACTGATTGTATCTTCCTGCACGGAGGAGAGTTGAACCAGATCACCTTGCCACCTCTTCTAATGCTTCTGTGATTATACAGCCAGTCTCTGAACACTCGGAAAGGAATGCCAGGCTCGACACAGGCTCCTCACAAACAACCCTCCCTCCTTTCTTGGCAGAGCTAAAGCGAAAGGTAGATGCGGGGAATGTGGTGGGTGGAGCAGAGCCTGATTACAGAAAAGCCTTTGACAAAGTTCCCTGTGACGTCCTCACAAAGAAGCGAGCGAGATGTGGGTGGACAACGCTCCTGTGAGGTAGGCTAGGAACGGGTTGACTGCTAAACCCCAATGGCTTGCCAAAAGAGCAATATGATTAAACCACAGGAAAATAGGTGACATTCCACCTCCCTAACAGACCAAAGCTGCTCAAGCATTACATCTGCTTCTGCTCAGGAGTCTGGGGGAGTCTGGTTCTCTGGAGGTTTGGAAACAGGTCTCGGCGGTGGTCAGGGGAGCTTTTGCACAATTAAAACTCATGCGCCAGCTGCACCTGTACCTTGGGAAGTCTGACTTAGCCATGGTGGTCCACGCTTTGGTTACATCCCGTTTAGACTACTGCAACGCTCTCTATGTGGGGTTGCCTCTGAAGACTGCCCGGAAGCTTCAATTAGTCCAACGTGCGGCAGCCAGACTACTAACAGGTGAGCCGGGTACAGGGAGCATACTACTCCTCTGTTGCGCCAGCTCCACTGGCTGCCAGTCAGCTTCCGAGCACAATTCAAAGTGCTGGTGTTAACCTATAAAGCCCTAAACAACTCCGGCCCAATTTACCTGTCCGAACGTATCCTCCCCTATGAGCCATCAAGATTGCTAAGATTGTCTGGAGGGGCCCTGCTTTCGATCCCACCGGCCTCACAGGCGCGGCTGGTGGGGACGAGAGACAGGGCCTTCTCGGTGGTGGCCCCTCGACTCTGGAACTCCTTCCACTGGAGAGCAGAACTGCCCTTCGATCTTAATGTTCAGGAAACAGGTGAAAACCTGGCTTTGGGGATTGGCATTCGACGAATGAGCCATGATCCTGTGATACGTATGGATGACGACAAATAATGACTTTGATGACAACTGACCACTGTAATCATATGATTGTATTTTTGCCCTTTTAATTGTTTCAATGTTTTAATGTTTTAGTGTGATTTAGAAATATGATGTTTTAATGACGGTCTGTAATATTGATGTTGGAAACCGGCCCGAGTCCCTCAAATGGAGGTGAGAAGACCGGGATACAAAACTGCCAAATAAAATAAATAATAAATAGAGGCCAAATGGCCATCTGCCAGGACTGCTTTGATGGTGTCTTCCTGCTTGGGTGAAGGAGGCTAGAGTGGATGATCTTTTGGATCTCTTCCCACTCTGCATGTCTATGATTGCTCCCTGTGTCTAAAGCAGGCATGGGCCAATTTCAGCCCTCTGGGTTTTTTGGACTTCACAATTCCAGGTGCAGGTGCTTACCTACAAAGCCCTGAACGGTTTGGGACCTGCCTACCTGCGTGACCGCATCTCCGTTTATGAACCCACGCGCTCACTTCGTGCATCCGGAGAGGTCCTGCTCACGCTCCCACCTCCATCGCAGGCGCGTTTGATGGGGACACGAGACAGGGCCTTTTCTGTGGTGGCCCCCCGACTCTGGAACACCCTCCCCAAAGATCTTAGCCAGGCCCCTACATTGGCAGTCTATAGGAAGAACTTGAAGACCTGGCTGTTGCGATGTGCCTTTCCAGAATAGGAAAACCCCAATAACAAGTCCCAGAAGCACTTTATTAGAATTAAGATTGCTGCACACTGCACTTGCCCCATAATCCCTATATATGACCTGTCACATCAGCACTTTTAATCCTGTACCCATTACTCTGGCCCGGCCCAGTTTTATAGTGTCTTGGTGTATTGTTTATTGCTTGTTGTTTAATATTGCTTTAACGGTTTTTAATTTGCTTTAGGTGTTGTATTGTTATGTTGTGTTCTGAGGCCTTGGCCTCTGTAAGCCGCATCGAGTCCTTCGGGAGAAGCTAGCGGGGTAGAAATAGTTAATAATAATAATAATAATAATTCCTAACAGCCTATTAGCACTGAGGGTGGGTTGAGGGGTAACTGTACTGTGGGTGGTGGGTTGTCAACGTATGTGTATGTGTATATTTCTGCAATATATATGGTTGGTGTATTATCTTTTTGAAATAAAATATTTTTAAAAATTAAAATTAAAAAAAAGGAATTGTGGGAGTCGGGAGTCCAAAATACCTGGATTCAAACGTTTGCATGAATCTCCTACCAAAAGCCAGTCGTCAATATAAGGATAAATTGTAATGCCCTGTGTACGAAGGTGAGCTGCAATTACTGCCATGAAGTTTGTAAATACTCTTGGGGCAGTCGTTAGTCCAAAAGGTAAGACATTAAAACAACAAGCTTTATCCCCACTCATAAAGGAAAGATACTTCCTATGGTGTGCAGCTATCGAAATATGAAAATAAGCATCGCTGGAGGAGGGCCAAAGTTGGCCCATGTCTCTGTCCTCTTGGAATTGGACACTTAAGCCAACCAAGGGATCATCTGCATGCCCACGTCATCATCCCCTTCCGTTTCGTGCCCTCCACAGTCTCTGAGGGCCACTGGGGCCTGGCATTCTGAGGGTGGCAGAGAGGTTTGCCACCCCAAAAGGTCCCTGTTCGTTCTCACCTGTGGAAACCCAGCTGGTACGTGACGGCATCTGCAATGGCCTGGGTGTCGGCGGCTGAGCCTGACCGGCAGCAGTAAATGTGGTCGTGGATCTGGGTCAGCTTATCTGTCACTCGGTTGGCAATGTAGGAACTGCAAGAGAAGACAGGGAGCGCCGTCAGGACAGAATACACACACTGCCTCAAGGTCTGAGATGCAGAGCTGCTTTGTGGAGCTGGGAAGCCACAGGGAGTGGGCAGCAGCTCTGCATCTTGGACGTAAGGTGGCCCCAGGACACCCCGGCATCACCGGACGGAGATGGAAAATGACTGAGAGGTCACTCTGAGGGGAGTTGGCAGGCAGAAGGAGGCCTCCACCCTTGGCACCATATGTGTCCTGTTCTGAGCACCACCATTCAAGAAGGATGAAGGAGGCAGTCTTTAGGAGGAGCTTGAAAACTTGGTTGTTCCAGTGTGCCTTCCCTGAATGAAAGATTAATAATTCCCTGATATGACCATTTTCCTGCAAAATGTCCTCTGAAGCACTTTATTCTACCCGTTGGGGCAATCAATCGTACCCTACCCTCTAAAACACTGTTCAGACTCATTTCACTGCTGTCACACACAGTGTTTTAAATTTTTAATCTATTAGAATTGGCCCTGCGCACGGTGTTGGATCCTTTTTTTTAAATGTCGAGTTTTATTGCTGATATGTTATTTATAATGGTTTTGTATTGTATTTTTTGTTTTATTTTATCGCTGTGTTGGTTTATACTGATGTATTGTATTGTTGGGCTTGGCCTCATGTAAGCTGTCCCAAGTCCCCTTGGGGAGATGGTGGTGGGGTATAAATAAAGTATTATTATTATTATTATTATTATGACCAAGGCAGAAACATCTCCAGCTCATCCCCTGTTTGGGTATCAGCCAGCACGTTAACGACTTAAATCTAGAAATAGTTTTCTAAGATCTACAGAGACATTCGCTGGAACACCCCAGCAAGCGAGAGTCCAAAAGTGGCAGGCTCAAACCCAGAACCTCAGTCCATGGCTGATACCAAATGAGAGACTCCCCCCTGGGCACACAGAGGACTGGGCAACTTGGAAGGTGCTGAACAGACTGTGCTCGGGCACCACAGAGCCAATCTTAAGAAATGGGGCCACAAAGTGGAGTCCATGACATGCGGGCATCTGCATAGAGGTAGCTTGGTTGTTGTGCCTGGAGGCATTCTTTGTTTGGGAGGTGTTCACTGGCACTTGATTGTGTGCTGTCTGGAATTCCCCCATTTCTGAGTGATGTTCTTTATTTACTGCCTTGATTCTGGTGTTTTTTGATACTGGTAAAACCATGTTTTGCTCGTTTTCATGGGGGAATTCCATTCCAGACAGTGAATAATCAAGTGCCAGTGAACACCTTCCAGACAAAGAACCATAAAAAATTGCAGCAAAGTCTTGGTAGGATGGGCATCCCAAGCCCCCTTCCCTCTCTCCTGAGGGATCTGTATAAGGCAGGGGTCCCCAAACTACGGCCCGCGGGCCGTATGTGGCCTGCCGTGGGCATTTCTCCGGCCCGCGTGGCCTGGCCTGGCCACACCCACCCGGCGCCGCTCCGCCAATTTCGGACACCCTCTGCTCCGGCCGCTCTCCCTGTGTGGAAGGGAGAAGCCCACACAGGGAGAGCAGCCAGAGCAGAGGGTGTCCCAAAGTGACGGAGCGGCGCCGGGTGGGCGTGGCCAGGGAACGCCGGCGTTCCCTGGCCATGCCCACCCGGCGCCGCTCCGCCAATTGCGGACACCCTCTTCCGGCAGAGCTCTTTGATTGAACTATAAATCCCAGCAAATACAACCCCCAAATGCCACCAGTGTTCACATTTGGACATATTGAGTAGCAGTGCCAAGTTTGGTCCAGATCTATCATAGAGTCCACAGTGATTTATGGAGGCAGGTGAACTACAACTCCAAAATCAAAGACACTGCCCACCAAACCCTTCCAGTATTTTCTGTTGGTCATGGGAGAACTGTGTGCCAAGTTTGGTTCAATTCCATCGTTGATGGGGTTCAGAATGCTCTTTGATTGTAGGTGAACTATAAATCCCAGCAACTACAACTCCCAAATAACAAGATTCTATTTTCCCCAAACTCCACCAGTGTTCAAATTTGGGCATATTGAGTATTTGTGCCAAGTTTGATCCCGATCCATCATTGTTTGAGTCCACAATGATCTCTGAATGTAGGTGAACTACAACTCCAAAACGAAAGGACACTGCCCACCAAACCCTTCCAGTACTTTCAGTTGGTCATGGGAGAAATGTGTGCCAAGTTTGGTTCAATTCCATCGTTGGTGGGGTTCAAAATGCTCTGTATTGTAGTTGAACTATAAATCCCAGCAACTACAACTCCCAAATGACAAAATCAATTTTGTGAAGGACATACATTGGGTTGTTAGGTGTCTTGTGTCCAAAATTGGTGTCAATTCGTCCAGTGGTTTTTGAGTTCTGTTAATCCCACAAACGAACATTACATTTTTATTTATATAGAAGTGTGGGTTTTTGTTTTTTTATTTGGGGGGGGGGTGGGTTGCACTGCAAATAATATATGTGCAGTGTGCATAGGAATTCACTCATTTTTTTTTTCAAATTATAATCCGGCCCTCCAACAGTTTGCGGGACTGTGACCCGGCCCTCTGTTTAAAAAGTTTGAGGACTAAGGACCAAGGAGCCACAGTCAGAACTGACCACGGAACAGGAGACGGGTTCAAGACTGGGAAAGGCGTACAGCAGGGTTGTATCCTCTCACCCAACCTTTTTAACGTGTATGCAGAACACATCATGCGAGGATGTGCGGGGCTTGAGGAATGCAAGGCTGGGGTGAAAATTGCTGGAAGAAACATTAACAACCTCAGATATGCAGATGACACCACTCTGATGGCCGAAAGCGAGGAGGAGCTGAGGAGCCTTCTAATCAAGGTGAAAGAAGAAAGCGCAAAAGCCGGGTTGCAGCTAAACATAAAAAAACCAAGATTATGGCAACAAGAATGATTGACAACTGGGAAATAGAGGGAGAAACCGTGGAGGCAGTGACAGACTTTGTATTTCTAGGTGCAAAGATTACTGCAGATGCAGACTGGCCAGGAAATCAGGAGACGCTTACTTCTTGGGAGGAGAGCAATGTCCAGTCTCGATCAAAGAGTGAAGAGTAGAGACATCAGACTGGCAACAAAGATCCATTGCAGAGTCCAAGCCATGTTGGGTATGGTGGCTGGCAGCATAAACGCTCAGCTGCACAGCCAAAAATCTTAATCGGGAGGAATCCTGAGCCTCCCCCTCGCTCACCATCCGCAAATCGAGGGGTGAGAGGAAGCTCAAGCACCGGACCCTCGATAGAGGGGAGGAGAGCCGAAAGAACCACGGAAAGCGAAAAAACGGAAAGAACGGAGAGGGAGAAGAAACACCCGCCGCCATCTTACTCCGGCCTACCTGCGGCCTGCTCGGAGCTCAGCGCTGCAGCCTGATTTTCATCGCCGGCGCCGCTTGGATCCCGGGCCTGGCGGACGGACCGCCAAGGGCAAGGTGGATGGATGGCATCCTTGAAGTGACTGGATTGACCTTGAAGGAGCTGGGGGTGGCCATGGCCGACATGGAGGAGCTCTGGCCTGGGCTGGTCAATGAAGTCACGAAGAGCCAGAAGCCACTAAACGAATAAACAACAACAACAGACAAAGTCTGCCTCTAGGCTCAACAGCCAGGCCAGGTCTATGAAAATACCCTTACTGATTGACTTTGCAGTTTCATGGCTAATCAAGCCTGCTAACTGCAACATCCACATTTGCTTTAAAGAGACACAGGTTCTTCCTCCCACCCTGGACATTACTCTTCAGGTATAGACACACTCCACTTGCCTCACTCCAACAGACCTCTGAAGATGCTAGAAGCCACAGATACAGGAGAAACATCAGGAGAGAATGCTGCTGGAACATTGTCAAACAGCCCAAAAAATTCACAGCAACCCAGATAGTTAATCCTGTGTTAATGTTTATATATTTGTGGATTTTAAATGGTATTGAAATGTTTTTAATGTAAGCTGCTTTGAGACTCCTTTGTGGAGAGAGAAGGAGGGTATAAATAAACATAATAATAAAAATAACCATAACAACAATAACACAGTCCCACCCACCCCTCACTCACCCGGTGGTGGTCCTGGAGTCGGCACCAATGACGACCCCTCCGTCAAACTCTACCGCCATGATAGTGGTCTGAAAGGGAAGATGGGAAAGTTGTGTATCTCTCTCCCTTCTGAATCAGGGGTACTTTTATTGTGCTTTTCCTGCATCACTTTCCTCTTTCCTTCCTTCCCCCCTTTTTCCTTCCCTTCTTTTATATCTCCTTCCTTCCTTTTCTACCTCTTTCCTTTTAGTGTCCAACCTTCTTTCTCTCTTTCCTTCCCTACTTTCTCCGCTCTCTACTTCTTTCCCTCATTTTCTTTCCTTCTCTCCCTCTTTCCTTCCTTCTTTCACTCTTTGTTTCCATGCTTTATATTGTTTTAGGTTTGCTTGTACGTTTCCACAAACTGCCCCATCACTTTTTCACCCATGTCCAGCATTATTTTTAATTTTAATTACATTTATTATTTATTATTAGTTATTTCGAGCTTTTATAACCCGGTCTTCTCAACCTCTGAAGAGGGACTCAGGCCGGCTAATAGCAGAGGGTTAAAATACAGTAAGATAAACCACAGTAAACATCATAACACAATAGTACAAAAATACATAAAATACAATACATTTGGCCTACCCATAGATTTTAAAGTGTGTTGTCCTATTTGATAATGCTTATGTTATTGTTTTATTGTTTTAAATTGCTTGTATTGTTATTGCTTTTGCTTGCATTATTGTATTTTGGGCTCAGCCTCATGTAAGCTGCACTGAGTCCCCTGGGGAGATGGTAGTGGGGTATAAATAAAGGTTTCTTATTATTATTCTGCATC